GAGGGACTGACAAGAACGGCTCAGGCTCTCTCTGTTCCTGTCCCTCTCTGAGAAACAAGATGTCCTTTAACACTTTTGCCCAGCGTGTCACGTGGTCCCCCAGGGTGTTAAATGCAGTGCAGGAGGTGTCCCTCAGCTGTGGTGCAAGTGTGGCCTGTGCCCCACCTGTGAGAGTGCATCCACCCTGGGCAGCTTTCTTGAGCCTCGGGAGATCAGCTCACAATAAATTCCAGGCCTCTGTTATGCCTCATTGCCAACCTGTAAGTCATAAACCCTCTTCATGTAACTCGTGTGTGGGCGTTCCATCTCACAGGACTCAGGCAAGTTGGTAACCAGTGCACGATGAGCCTGCTTCACAAAATTGGCACAGTGAACAGGGTTCAGTTTGACAGAACCATGTTTTCCCGGTGAAAGGAGAGGGTGATGTCAACCTGCAGGGGGCAGAGGCTGCACTTGCAGCTGGACATTTTAATGGGAAAGGAGGGGTGATATGTGGGACATTAGGTCACATGCAAACAACCCTGTGGCTGTGACTGAGCTGGCTGAATGGGTGGAAGCAGAGAGAAAGTAAGGTGGAGCCAAAATGCCACACAGGATCCCTTGGTTGTTGGGCACTTATGTGATTGCTCATTGAGGACTCAAACATGGCACTTAAGAGAAAGAAGAGGAATGAGGTATCGGATGATCCCTGAAGGATCTGAGAGGAACCCACATGCAGAATGTGGCCTGTCACAGAAAGGGAGACGTCAGGTCTAAAGGACCACAGTCTTAGACATGGAGAAAGGCCAAGGAAGTCTCGTGCAGCCTGGCTGATGAATATATCTGATAAAGGGACACTGCAAACCCAAATGTCCTGGGCTGAATGGCACAGTTAGGAATGGAACCAAGGTCTCTGATCCCCACCAGAGGCCAATGGCTCTACACTCCTGTCAAAATAAAATGGGGCCAGATGCAGTGGCTCGTACCTATAACCCTAGTACTTTGAGGAACCAAGGCAGGAGGATCCCTTGAGCCCAGGAGTTAGAGACCAGCCAAAGCAACAAAGTGAGACCTCGCCTCTACAATAAATTTAAAACTTTTATGACTTAGCCAGGTGTGGTGGTGGGCTTCTGTAGTCCCAGCTGTGCGGGAGGCTGAGGCTGGAGGATTTACTAAACCTGGTAGGTTGATGCTGCACTCCAACCTGGGCAATGGAGAGAGATCCTGTCTTAAAAAAAAATTTAAAAAAAAAAGATATAATGGGGAAAGATGGAAATTGTGCCTTTTTTGGAGTTCTTGGACACTGAAGGCCACATGACAGTATTTCCAGGTTCCTTTAGGGGAAAAATTAAGCTGGTGACACCAGGAAGCTTGCAGATGAACTCGGTGACCCATAGTGCTTATCTGCTTGCGGGTGGGGCCCTTTGGGCCATTTCAAGTGTCAGGGACCATGGTTCCCACCACTGAGTGCTTTATGGGCATTGTTGCTTGTGGCACAGAACATCACTGTCACCAGAGGGGCTATGACCCCTAACAACTAAGGATTTGAGCCTTAATAGTGGGGCACATCCCCTCCCACCTCCCACCGTATCATCCCACATTTTTACTGACTCATGAGCCATTGCCAACAGTCTAGCCATCTAGTCAGGGGAATGGCAACAGTGACCAGACTATTAAAAGGTCCCATGTGTGAGGACAAGGACTATGGCAACAGCTTGCTGTTGGAAGGGACTCTATATGCCACTCATGTGAATGCTCTGACTTCCACAGCTGCCCTTGGGAGGACTTATGTCATGTTTTTGGATACCCCATGGGATTTCACTCTGACCAAGGAAAATCCCCCCTGCCCAAGCAACATGACAGTGGGCAGACTATCATGCAATACATTGGGTTTTCCATGTACTCTGTCATCCACAGGCCAATGGAGCAATTGAACGATGGAACAGCCAACTCACAAAGCAACTGAATAAAGGACATCAGGACAGTCTGTTAGTGGGGTGGTACCTCAATCTGACTAGGGCAGCGTGGATACTAAGCACTGTACTCCAAGGGAAACACAGCACTGCACGCATCTTGAAAAACACTGAGCTTGGTGTGGATGGAGGTGGACCAGGTCCCTGCCTGATTAGTCTCCATCTGTGAAATTCCAATCTCAGTGGTCGCAATCATCCTTTTTTCTTTTTCCATTTAGAGTGCACATCCTGTAGGTGGTTTGTGGTTCAGGCTGCCAGAACACCCCAGACAGGGCCCCCAACTCTAATCTAGAGGTGATACTTCCACCAGGCACCCCTCTTCTATGAAATCCACAGGAATACAGCATGAAACCAAGAAGTACGAGGGTGTTAGGATTAGTGGCACCATGAACACCCAATTCTTCCATACAGGTGGGTAACTTTATCAACATGTCAGGATTGTCCAGGACAAACCTCCCTTCCCTGACTGGATGACTAAAGCCAAAAGGCCTGGGTCATGCAACAATAGGTAGTGTTGGGACTTCAGCAATCAGACTGGGACACTGCACTCAGGCCAGCCTCTATCTGACAGATAGGGAATACCCGAGGATGCAGGGAGTCTAAGGTGTGGGGCACTAACCTGTCACTCTGCTTTTTCCACAGGATGTGAAAGTAGAGGCCTGGAAGCATAATGCCTTTGTTGGGCTCTCCCAAGCTGTGGCCACCAAAGGAAAGTGCTGGATCTGCCATCCCAGACCCCATTCTGTCACAGACTACAGCAACCTTCTCGTCCTGCCAGTAGTAAACTCTACCAGTATTATAGTGGTGCAGTGAGTATCAACAGAGCCTCAGCCGTGGCTTACTGAGTGAAGATTTAGCACCTGCCACATGGCAGGGAGGGAGACTTAATTGGCCGAAGGTGGCAAAACATCATGACAACTACCAGCCTCGGTGGGCTGGTAGTTTTGACCCACTATGTTCCTTTACTTGGATGAGAAGCATCCCAGTGTTGACGATGGAAACAAGAATTGGACTACTGTTAGCTTTCTGTGTAGGGACTTCATGAACAATATTGAATGGGGGAAACCAAGTTCATAGAAATAATTTGAGACTTTGCTGGCAGAGGCTAATGCCTTCGTACCAATGAATGGGTTACTGAACAATAAAATAGGAGAAGGGGTGCTATGTGCACCTGAGGCTACATTTTTCCCTGTGAGCAGTCTAGGGTGACCCAAATATGGTGTGGTCAGTGTTATACACGAAAAGCTGACGAACGGTGGGATATTGCACGCTGGGCATGCTGGGGTGTCCCTCGATATTACCCTTGGAAATGAGTCACACCAGTGGGCCAGCAGCCTGAAGTCGTCATACCCCAGGCTTACTAGACACCTGCCAGGAGGTGTAAGTGACCCTGGGTTTATGTTCTTTTTATGAGATTTTTGGTACCACACATAGGAGTCAGTGCTTGGGAAAAACTGGTAAGAATTCTGTCCCTGAGCATGGCAGATACTGCTTCCTCTATTGCCACTTCCTTGGCAGCTCAGCAGACATCCCTCAACTCCTTTGAGTTTTGTTTTTCTTTTTTGAGACAGAATTTTATGCTGTTACCCATACTAGAGGGCAGTGGCATGATCACAGCTCACTGTAACCTCAAACTCCTGGGCTCAAGTGATCTTCCACCTTAGCCTCCTAAGTAGCTCTGACTACAGGTGCACACCACCACACTTGGCTATTTTAAAAAATATTTAGGAGAGATGGGGGTCTCACTATTTTGCCCAGGCTAATCCTGAACTCCTGGCATCAAGCAATCACTCTATTTCAGCTTCCCAAAGCACTGGGATAACAAGCATGAACCACCACACCTGGCCAAGAGGATCGTATTAAACAAAGTAGTTACTTTAGACTTCCATTTACCAAACTGAGACAAGTGTGTTTGATTGCCAATAGCTGCTACTGTACGTAGAGAACAACTTAGGTATTATAGAAAATTAGGGGAGATCTGGGAGGAGGCCCACTTGCTGCAGATACTGGGCCCCCCCTTAGGGACCCTTTTGGGACCTCTTTAGCAACTTGTTACCTGGATCACTGGATCCGGGACTAGGTTGCTGCTGCAGGCAGACCTGATCAGCTGTTTGTGGAGCAGTCCTCCTGGGTCTAGCGAAATGCATTCTGACTATGGCTTAACAATGTTTCACTGACACTATGTCGTCAGTGTGTCACGCCGATCTGATAAGACAAATCTCTGCTTCCAGATACTAAGAGGTTGGTGGGCATATGAAATGGCCTCGCTTTGCTGGGGGGATAATCTGAATTAAGAGCACAGACTGCAGGACAGTTCTCCAGGTGGCCTTGGACCAACTTAGTTCTTTCTCCTTTCTCATTTATGGTTCTCTAGGATAACTGCGGAATGTGCTGGGAATATGGCATCCTGTGATGAAGAGAAACTGACCAGAACAGCCTCTTGTCTCTCCTAAAAATAGAATGTCCTTCATGTTTTTGTTTGTTTTGAGACACAGTTTCGCTCTTGTTGCCCAGGCTAGGGTGCAACAGCGCAATCTCAGCTCATTGAAACCTCTGCCTCTCAGGTTCAAGCGATTCTCCTGTCTCAGCCTCCTGAGTAACTGGGATTACAGGCAGGTGCCACCACGCCCAGCTAATTCTGTAGTTTTAGGAGAGACAGGGGGTTTCTTCATGTTGGTCAGGCTGGTCTTGAACTCCTGATGTCAGGTGAGCTGCCCACCTTGGCCTCCCAAAGTGCTAGGATTCAGGGAAGAGCCGCTGCGCCTGGCTGAATGTCCTTGGTGTTTTAGCCCAGTGTGTCATGCCTCCCCATTTCCTCTCTCACTCCCCCAATTAGGCTGTCCTTGCATTGCTATTAAGAAATACTTGAGACTGGCTAATTTATATAGAAAAGAGGTTAAATTGGCTCACGGTTCTGCAGGCTGTACAGGAAACATAGTATCAGCATCTGTTTGGCTTCTGCGGAGGCCTCAGGGAGCTTTTTCTATTGGCAGAAAGAGAAGGGAGAGCAGGCACATCATATGGTGAGAACTGGAGCAGGAGACAGTGTGTGATGGGGGGTGCCACACACCTCTAAAGAACCAGATCGCCCTAGAACTCACTATCGCAAGGACACCAGGCCATAAGAAATCCACCTACATGACTCAAACACCTTCCAGCAGGTCCCACCTCCAACAATGGGGACCACAATTCTACATGAGATTTGGTAGGGACATATATTCAAACTGAATCATCCGCTCGTGCACCCCCAAATCTCATGTCCTTCTCACATGGAAAACTCCCAAAGTTTTGACTTGTTCCAGCATTAAACTAAAAAGTCCAAAGTGTCATAGGAGACAAGGCCCTGAAAAGGAACTAAGAAATCTGGAGCAGCAAAATGCATGTAGAACTCATCACGGGTCAGTACTTTTCCTTGTACAGGAAGAAACCGAGGACGCCCGGTGCATCGCCCAACACAGGTTAAGACAGAGTGGAGACTGGAAACCCGACCTCAGCTTCCGGTCCCAGCCCATAGAGTCTTCAATTTCCTTTGTCGAAAGCGAACGACAGCTCCCGGCCTACCCGGAAACCCGCTCGAAGAAGACGGGGAGACGGGGCTTGCCCATCGCTTCCTAAAGTTGTGAGCTTTGCGGGAGATCTTCCGAGACGCACTGGGGACCGGATGGTGAGTTTTCCTCGTGCGCTACGGGCCGGCTCGGGAAGAGGAAGGTCCGGGCAACTTTAACAGTATCCTTGGGACAATGATTACGGTTTCTTCAGCTGGTGTTTATCAAGGGACAACGAGGCCAGCCTCCGTGAATGGAGCACGAGAATGATAAGAGTCAGTCTGTCCCCTCAAGAAATATCGTTCAGTGAGGAGACATACAGCGCATAGGCGCACGAGTCTTTCACGTTGTGATTGAGACGAAAAGGGAGCTAATCCTCAGACGAAAAAGAGCCCTAGTCCTGGGGTTCTGGGCGCTGTAGCAAATGGACTCCAAATGGAGTTGAAGGGAGGGAGGAGTGGTCAAGCGGAGCCGAAAGGAGAGAGGGAACTACCTGTCCGATAGGGCAGAATCGGGGAGAAAACTTGGTGACTTGAGCTTAGAGAAGGCCATTGCGGCCGTAGCAGAAGAGGGAGGCAGGGACCAAATATTACGGTATGGATCACCGTGACACAAAGTAGGCGCTTTATCATAAGAGCAGCAGAACGACTGCATCTGATGTACATTTTGAAAGGCTCACTGTAACTGCGGGGGAAGACTGGATTATAGGAGGGCAGGAATTGTGAGAAACCACTTAGGAGGCTACCGCTGTAGATGAGCGGTGGCGACCTAGCCTACACATGGGAGAGAAGTGGACGAACCAAAAGTATATTCAGGAGGTGAAAATTCAGGACTTTACGGATTCGATTCAGGATTCGTGTGACAGGTTGGATACCCAACGATGATTCCAAGTTTCTGGCCTGAGTGAGTGAATTACACTAAACAAGAACAAACTATTTTGAGGTTTTCTAAGGGTTCTTCCCCACTCAGTGTTAGAACCACATTTTTTTGTTTTGTTTTGTTTTCCGATTATGTGTTCTCTGTTTTGTATGCTCACTGTAGAAAATTCAGAATATACATAAAAAAATACTTTATTTTATATGAAGGACAATAAAAATCACCTCGGAATCTCAGTACCCAAGACGGTCGTGTATTAGTGCGTTTCCTTCTTGTGTCTTTAAAAAATGGGTGCATCTTTTTATATAATTGGGAGCCTACTGATTATATCTTTCTGATCCTGTTTTTCCCCTTAACATGACTAAAGATTGAACTGTGTGCCAGGATATTGTTCACAATAGTTTTTTCTTGTTTGTAACAGAAAAAGTCATATGTAATTCTAAGAGATAACATTAACCTGTTGGTGCGTTTTCTTTTTAATAATTGTTTAAAAGCTTTTTAAAAAACCCATAATTTGGCCAGTTTGTTTTGTTTTCCAATCAGATGCTTTTACTTAATGTTATTTATTGCCGTTTTTGCACAGCATCAAGACCACATGTTTTAAATCACAATGAACCCCATCAATTAGCTAGATAAGTTGTTTTCAACTTTTTACTGTTAAAATAATGAGAGGAACATCTTATTGTATAAATCTTGGATTCCTAATGAATTTCATCATAGAGTTTTAGAAATATAATTTGTCAGGTAAAAGGATAAATGAGTCTATCAAATTGCTCCCACCAAAATATCTCAATAGGGATTTGACTGAAGTTGTTTTAAATAAATTTTTGTAATACATAGTTTTTCCATTCAAAGATATGGTCATGTCTTTCTAGTTATTCAAGTTATCTTTTATGTCTTTATATATAATACCCTTTTCTTGTTAAGCTTATGTCCAAGAAAGGAGCAATATTGATTATTTAATAATTGTACCCTCTCTGCTTAATTTCCATCTGTGGAATGAATATCTTTGGGTCAAGTGTGATACTTTATTGTTTAACATTATTTTCTTCATTAATACTTATGACTAGGCCTTGCTAAAATATAAATGAAATGATGAGATCAGGAAATTAAAAAGACTAAGATAGAGTAGGGCTTGATTAATACCTAAGTAACCTCTTCTTTAAAAAATTCCTGACATTCTGCTCCTACTTGTCTGCTGGGGAAGCAGCTCCTCAAGCATGCATCTGAGCCTGCCTTATCTGAATAAACAACAACCAGCTAGGCCCCTTGGCTTTTCCCCAGGAATGGCAGTGGAACTAGAAACAGCTCAGCAGGGTTAGGAAGACAGGATTTCATGAGGATGCCAAATGGGCTTTGGCGATGGACTTTTCTAGTTTAACACTTTAAATCATGTTACTGTCAAAGTTACTGAATATCTGTTAAGAAATGAGTTCTAATGTTAACTTTTAAACAGAAGAAGTCTCTTGGTCTTTTCATTTTGTGTGCAGTAGAATCCTGCTTATCTGTAAAATGCACTTAACACATTAGCGGGACCTATTTCCTGAATACAGGGTGACCCTTCTGTTATTTAAAGATGTCAAAAATGCAGGAGACTTGAGAAGAAAAGCCATGGAAGGGACCATCGATAGATCACTGATAAATCCTACAGTGGTAAATGTAAATTATAAGGATGAATGAGCCAGCTGGGCACGGTGGCTCATGCCTATAATCCCAGTACTTTGGAGGCTGAGGCGGGTGGATCTTCTGAGGTCAGGAGTTCAAGACCAGCCTGGCCAACATGGTAAATCCTGTCTCCACTAAATATACAAAAAAAATTAGCTGGGTGTGGCGGTGGTTGCCTGTAATCTCAGCTACTTTGGGAGTCTGAGGCAGGAGAATTGCTTGAACCCAGGGGGTGGAGGTTCCAGTGAGTTGAGGTCGCACCACTGCACTCCAGCCTGGGCGACAAGAGCAACACTCTGTCTCAAAGAAAAAAAAAAAAGAATGAATGAGCTATACAGAACATTTAATTATATATTTATTTTTATGATCTTATAGGGGAGCCTAAAATTTTGTCAGCTTTAGGGAAAAAATTCTTGTCTAAGTCAGATGCAGCCAACCTTGACTATAACGGTGAATTGAGGCAGAAGTGCCAGGTGCTGCCCTAGGAAATAGGAAAGGTTGTGGTCTGGCTCTCACATGGGAAATGCCTGGATCTCCAGCTTCTCATTGGTAAAATGGGGATTCTTCACAAGAGTCTGCAGAGGAGGCATAGTGTAGCAGTTAAAAGCACACACAGAGGCCAAGGTGGGTGGATTGCTTGAGGCCAGGAGTTTGAGACTAGCCTGGCCAACATAGTGAAACCCTGTCTCTCCTAAATACACAAAAATTAGGTGGGCATGGTGATGGTGTGTGATGGTAGTCCCAGCTACTCGAGAGGCCGAGGCACGAGAATTGCTTGAATCTGGGAGATGGAGGTTGCAGTGAGCCGAGATTGAGCTACTGCAGTCCAGCCTGGGCAACAGAGCAAGACACTGTCTCAAAAACAAACAAACAAAAAACACACAAAGTGGGATCATGTTACCAGGACTTAATCCCAGACCTCCTACTTAGGACTTTGAACAAGACATAGCCAACTGTTACATACTGTGCACTGCATTCCTAGCATTGTTCCAAGTGCTTTACATATACTAACTCGCTTAATCTTCACAACAGCCTTAGGGAGTGAACTGTTTCATCTGTGTCTAACAAATAAAATGCTAAGGAACTTGCCTAAATTCCCTAGGTGATTGGTGACAGAGATGGTATTCAAACCCAGACATTCTTTGCCTTGATTTACTCGTCAATTACACACTACTACTACTACTACTACTACTACTATTGCTGCTGATATCAATTTCATAGGGTAGCTTTGAGGATTAAAGAAAATAGTACAAGTAAAATGTCTGGAATATGATCTCAGACATAACGTTAGCCCTCAATTAATGTTATTTAAACATTTACTATTTGTGTAAGTTTCTTGCAGCTTTAAAATTCTGTGACTACCCAGGCCCTTGGGATAAAAGTTTTGAAAATATAGACCGTAAGAATTGTGATGAGGTAAAACAGCTTGACACTGGAGTTACCATGAGTTGCCAAGTGTTTCACACACTGCGGGTTCTCTATGTGTAATTAATTCTTTTTGCTCTGTTTGGTAGATTGTCGATCCATTTCAGATACTTGTGGCAGCAAACAAAGCAGTTCACCTCTACAAACTGGGAAAAATGAAGACAAGAACTCTATCTACTGAAATTATTTACAACCTTTCCCCAAATAACAATGTAATATGGACTTTCCTACTTCTGTTGACCTTGTCATAATAACATATGTGTTCCCCTTTTTTGGGTTGGAGGCTAAATTCCTACAAACCCGTGGTTATGAATCAACCAAAATAATAGCGAAGAGAGCTCTGGACAGAGTTGAGGTTTAACCCTGCCTCTTACTAAGACAGTTTACATATGAGTAAACAAAAATTGAGTTAAATTAAGTGAGGTTAATTTTATCTGTTGTTCTTACTATATAGGGTCAGGAAGACCCCTCAAGTATTTTTGCTTAAGAAGCTGACAGAAATCTAAATGATAAAACATTAGGCATGGATATTTTGTGTACTGGCATGCATATCTTTCCCTCTTCCCATAAACTTGAGTGTGGGATCCATGTCCTTTCTTTTTTTTTTTAATTGGCTTCTTTTTCAATTTTATTTATTTATTTATTTATTTAATACTGGATGTAATGAATGTAAATAGTCTATATGTTCTACATAAAAGGAAAGACCTATTCATCTACTGTCTTCAAAAAAAACTCATCTCACATGTAACAGCACCCATAGGCTCAAAGTAAAGAATTACAGAAAAATCCATGCAAATGGAAAAAAAAAAAAAGCAAGGGCCACCGTTCTTAAATCAGATAAACCAAACTTTAAACCAATAACAGTAAAAAACAGCTAAAAAAAAAGGACAAAGAAGGGTATTAGGTAACAATAAAGAGTTCAATTTGACAAGGCCAACATTACCGATACCAAAACCAGACAAAGACAAAAAAAAAAACTACAGGCCAGTATCTCTGATGAACATAGATGCAGATATTCTTAACAAAATGCTAGCAAGCCAAATTCAGCAAGACTTTAAAAAGATAATACATCATGATCAAGTGAGATTTATTCCAGGCATGCAAGGATGGTTCAACATATGCAAATCAATAAATAGGGTACATTACATCAACAGAACGAATGATGAAAACCCTATGATCATCTCCATAGATGCACAAAAAGCATTTGATAAAAGCTCAACATTCATTCACAGTAAAAACTTACAGAAAATGTGGTATATATATATATACATACACACACACACATATATAAATGTGATATATATATATGTGGTATGTATACACACACACACATATATATATATACACATATATATATGCAATGGAATACTATTCCACTATTTAAAAAAATGAAATCCTGTCATTTTCAAAAACATGATGAAACTGGAGGCCTTTATGTTATGTGAAATAAGCCAGGCACAGAAAGACAAACATTGTATGTTCTCATTCATATGTGGAAGCTAAAAAGGTTGATCTCATGAAAGCAAAGAGAAGAATGATAGGGATTCATGTCCTTTTCATATACCAGGAACTGGCTGGTACCTACAGCAGTCCTACATCCTCACTCACACACCCAGTGCATAGGAAGAGTCTGGTTTGAAATACTTAGAGTCATGCTTTTTCAATGCAAGTTATGGAACTAAAGACATCCCACATGTAGCACATGAAAAAAATGACTGAAATTTTGCTGATGAGGTTTGAGTATTGCTGCAGCTATTAATAAGAGCCAGGTACTAATGTCATCTAGAGAAAAGTTAGGAAACCTGTGGCATAGGTTAAAATACAGATGATTGAAAAGTTGATAAAATGCAGTCATCTCAGTGTGGTAATAAGTTTCCCAGTACCTGGAATAAGATTTACTAATTATTGTTTCCTTGAGATCACTGGACATAATTCAGGAAACTCTTGAATTCAGTAAACATCTATAGAACTTTTCCCTGTTCCATTACACTTCTAGGGGCAGAAGAAACAAATTTGTTCCTGAGGAGAGGCAGATAAACAAGACAGAAGTTAAAATGCCCGAAGATAAATGATATAATGGGAAATGCAACAAAGCCATTCATTTTGGAGGGAGGAGGGTGTGGTGGGGAGTGGCATCAGAACTGTGGAGATGGAAGCACGTGTTCAGCAGCAACGCCATGGGCAGAAGGGACATGTAAGCAGAGGACAAAACTTGACCACAGGCAGAAAGGCATGAAATGTGACTGGATCCCCAGGAAGGCGAGACTGGCCGAAGGCAGAAGTGCATCGCTGGAGGGTCACTGGGCACCAGAGGGAGGTGGCGGTTTCATGCAGTGCCGAGAAGGCTGGGCTTGATTCCATAGGAACAAGGTGTACCTTTAAGTAGGGAGTGCTTGCGAGGAAGTACCAACGGATTTGGAAAGGAATCACTGGAAGTGAAAACCTAGGCAGTGAGAACTGTTAGGACATGAAAAATAAGAGCCTGACCAAGGAAGAAGGCAGATGAGGAAATGTTTCAGACATAGGAAACAATGGTTAATTGTCTTGGATTTTTTTTTTCTCTTAGATTTCAGAGGCTTTGAAAAAATTTGGTATCTCGGGAAATGACACTTCAATTCTAATTGTTTACATTGAAGAGGGAGAAAAACAGATAAATCAAGAATACCTGATATCTCAAGTAGAAGGTCATCAGGTTTCTCTGGAAAATCTTCCTGAAATAACAAATATTACAGAAGTCAAAAAGGTTTGCCAGTCCACGTTTTTATACGGAGTGTGATAGATGAGCAGTAATGCTGAGGCTGTTTGCCTATTGATCACCAGGGCTCCTTTTTTTTTTAATTTTAGAAAGTTGATTTTTTAAATTACTTAAAAAATAATTATAGATACAGAGAACTGGGAGGTGCGGGCTTATGTAAAATATAATTACAGACTCAGCTGACATAAGCATTCTCCACATTAAGAAAGTGAATTCCTTTAAATATCAAACGTAGTATATTTAAAATGTAAAATAAATTTAGTATGAAGTTAATATCTAGATATGTGCTTTTACAATGGATAGAAATTTGGTTTTTATCTTCTTGAGAGTTGTCTCCATAGCAGCAATTTAAAGGGAATACAAGTAATAAATTGCCATCGATTTTGAATATTTTAATCACATTCATTGTTATACCATGAACCCAATGATCGAATGAGGAATGATTTCACTTACACATGTTTATATAATGGCAATTATTACTGAATGACTATCAGCAAGTCATAATTTGTCTTTCATTTTTACAGATATATAAACTCTCTTCACAAGAAGAACGTATTGGGACGTTATTGGATGGTATCATTTGTAGAATGTCAACAAAAGATGTTTTGTGAAATGTCAAAAATATGAACAGAAATTCTCAGCATTAAAGGAAACATTGATTTTCCTTGCCTGATTATAAAACTAATATATGTGCATTATAGAAAATTTTAAATCACAGAATGGTATAAAAGACACTTCTAACACCCAGATACATAAGACCTATGAAGAGACTTAGATTCGCTAGACTCCCACACAATAATAGTGGGAGACTTCAACATCAATATTAGATAGATCAACGAGACAGAAAATTAATAAGGATATCCAGGACTTTAACTCAGATCCGGAACAAGTAAACTTAATAAACATTTATAGAGCTCTCCACTTTAAACACACAAAATATACATTCTTGTCAGCACCACATCTTACCTACTCATAGGCTTAAATGAAATATTGATCGGCCATTAGTAAGCATGATTATTGGCATAAAAGAGTTTTTAATACCCATTTTTAGAATAAAGCAACATATTGGCATAAAAGAGTTTTTAATACCCATTTTTAGAATAAAGCAACATTTCCATTCTCTCTCCCTTTTTCTTTAGTTTTCTTCCTCTCCTTCACTCCTTTTTTTCATTTCTTTCCTTCTCTCCTTAAAAAAAAAGACATTTCTAGTCCTCCCTCATATTACTTTAAAAGATAACCAGTTACTATTATTTGTTATTGCCTTCTAGAGTTGTTTCTACTCAAATATATTTTATTTTTATATAATTGGAATAAAAATTGTATACTTGTGGAATGCCTACAGTGTACTAGGTCCTTGCCTTAGTGATTTTTTTTTTTTTTTGTAAAGACAAGCTCTCACTATGTTGCCCAGACTGCTCTCAAATTCCTGGACTCCAGTGAAGCTTCTGCTGCACCTCGCAAAGCACTGGGATTACAGGCATGAGCTACCCAGCTGCTTATTGTTACTGTTTTTAAATTTTAGCCTTGGTGATTTTATATCCATCAGTTCACCTCCCTCTCCTTACTTACCATGGCTACTCTAGCTCACCCCTTGCAAGCCTTGAATCCTGGTTCTAAGTGTTTTTCACTTGTAGGAACCCATTTAATTCTCACAGCAACCTTATGAGGTACTGTTATTACCCCCATTTTACAAACAAGGCCCAGGGGCAGCTCCTGTGCAGAGGCCTGGCAGATGCCTCCTGCTGCGGGTGATCACTCACAGGGACACCTCGGCAGAGGTCCCACCCTTCTTTCTGGCAGAGGTCCAGGTGGAAGTGAGGGTGTTCCTCATGGAAAGAAGAAAAGTTGTGCCAGGGTAATTCTGAGGGTGTACATGGAGCCTGGGCAAGGGGGTAGCCAGGGCCACAGCAGGACCGATGCCCCTGCTCCCCAGGAACCCCCACCAACCCTACCTTTGCAGTGCCACTGTGAACCTGCCATTGTCCCTTGGCCTCTAGAAGGAAAGAGCCGGTGTGTGGGAGGGGGAGTCAGAATGCAACCCCAAGAAGTCAGACTGCAGCTGCTGAGGCAGGTGCATGGCCCCAGCCAGGAGCCATGGCTTCCTGAGCACTCCCACCACATCCCTGACCCCATGAGGGGAGGACTCCATCTTCCTCCATGTTCATATTCACCTTGACCAACACTTGGCCCCTGGCAGGATCCTCATCTCCCAGTCTCCATTTGTCAGGGGTGCACTGGGCAAGCAGGGCCAGGCCTCTTGGCCAGGCCCTGTAGTGGAAGGAGGTACAAGGTGGGATGGGGAAAGTATAACTGCTACATGCACTCACCCAGCAGTGTCAGCAATGAAAGAGAATGAATTCCTTTTTCCAGTTAGTATGGAGTCCAGGAAGTCCTGGGTTTAAGTTCTGCTACTGATGAACTGGTACCTGAGGAGTGTGGAAAGCCTAGGCATAGGTTCTAAACTCCTCCCCAGCTGCCTAACCCCAATGTCTGTCCTCTAGCGGTACAGTAATAGAATTACAAACAATCTATCCCAGCAAGTCTCTGCAGAGGTAGAAGAGGAAGAAAATATTTCATCACTGAAGAGGCATTAACCCAGAGTGAGATGCACATCACAGGCAATGATCTGCTAAGGTGCTGCAAAGACAGAAAGCTCATCACTAAACTAGCCAGTGGGTCCAGCCCATTGCACACTGCACATGTTCTCAAGAGAAGCCATGCTTAGGGGACTGCCCAGCACCTTTGGTCACACCCATTTCATTGGAGATTCAACCCCAATTTACCTGACCACCTGCGTTTGCTAATTACCTTGTTATAAAGGAAAAGAAACTCTTATCTTTATGTCAGGAGGTAGATTTACCACTCAGAGTGGATGGTAGGCTCTCACCGAGGCTGGCAAATAGGCCCTGGCTGCTCTGATGACGGCATTTCAAAGACTGGGCTCCCAGGTCCTTCAGGAACACAGTCCTGGGTGGCAAAGCTGAGAAGAGGCTTATTTCACTGTCAAAAAGCTTTGCATGCCCCTCAAAGGAGCAGAGGAAGGATTCACAATGACAAGTTTTCCAAAGAAAAAGCTCTAAGAAAAGGGAGAGAGGACACCGCTTCCCTTGTTTTTAACAGGGAGAATTAAGCCTCTTTGTTGTCTTTTTTATTTTTTTATTGCCCTAAAAAAATAAAACACTGTTTCTGACAGCAGTGTTCCGTGACTCCTCAGTTGTGCCACCAGTTCTTCCGAGCCCAACACAGGGTCCTTGGAGTGAAAATTTGGTTTTTTTTTTGTTTGTTTTTAAAAAAAAACCACCCAGCTTGCCTAGTATTTTTATAAATCTGCATTTTCCCTTCAAGAAACCCTTAGCTCTGAGGAAGTGAGGTGAGCTGTGGTTAAGGCAGCTCCCCAGGCTGGGCTGCTGGTCTCCCCCTGCCCCTCACATAGGCTTCCCTGGTCACCCCTCACTGTCACAAAGCAAGACCTGACTATGAAAGCTTCCACATGCAGGCCAGACACACGCATCTTTGGGTTTGCACTTCCGGCATTATCTGCAGCAAGTGCTCAGTTGCAGGCCGGCTTCCTGGGAGGCTCCAGGACCCATCCCTTTATTTAGGAATTGAAAATGAACTGGAACTGAGGAGTCTTGAACTGGAAGACATTTCAGAAATGATCAAATTTAATAGTTTCCAACCTTTTGGGATTGCAGACACCTTTGGAGATCTGATGTAGAAAGAGAACCCACAAATCTGCACGCCACTGCGAATTTAAGGAGCCCCTGAGGTGCCCACGCAGCCCTTTACGGTTAGCTGAGGAGGCTGCAGCTGAGCCCTGTCTCCCGAGGCAGAGGTCTAGGCTTAGTGGGAAAAACAGCACCCAAGTCACAGCAGGCAGCAGTAGCTCACTGGCTACGCCAAGTCTGATTAAGAAACTCTGGCGAATGTTTTGTTTTGTTTTGTTTTGAGACAGAGTCTCACTCCGTTTCCCAGGCTGGAGTGCAGTGGTGCTAACTTGGCTAACTGCATCCTCTGCCTCCTGAGTTTAAACGAGTCTCCTGCCCCAGTTTCCCGAGTGCATGTCACCACACCCAGCAAATTTTTATATTTTTAGTAGAAACGGGGTTTCACTTCGTTGGCTGTGCTGATTTCGAACTCCTGACCTCAGGTGATTTATCTGCTGGGAATATAGGAGTGAGCAACCACATCCAGCTCTGGTGAGCATTTTTGAGAGGCTGCATTTTAGAGGCTTTGTTTCCGGCTTTTCATGTAATCAGTTCTATGTTCAAGGCTGGCTGCTAAGAGTGGACTGGAATTGCTGGGGCTACACATCAGTGCTACAGAGAGGCAAACCAACTGCAACAATAGTCTCTTCCCAGGAGTACAAATTCTCAGTGACAGGAGCCTCTGTCCCTGACCCCAAAACATCCTGTGCTCCCCTCTTGCACCTGCACCTGGGGAAAGAATCTCAGCAGAATCCAGGTGGCCCATGCTCCATTGTCCCATGAACCATGGAGTTCAGGGTTCAGGGAAATCCGGCCAAGTGCCCTGCACCGTGCTGTAAGGCTGTCCTAAAGTCTGCAATCCCGAGACCCCAGCCAATGTAAAAGATCCCTCTTAGTCAAGGGACCCCAGGGAAACCTGAAAAAATGAATTCCTGGCCATGATGGAAGAGTAGCCTCATGAGAGCCTGTACTTTTGGAGTATAGGGCCCAAAACTGACCAGCATGAATGTTAAAATAGGCATCGTTAGATTTTTCGGAACGGACTCTGATAATCAGGTACAGATTATGAACAACACCTGAGGCCATGCAAGGCCAGAATTAACACACAAACTAGAAACCACAGAGTCTCCTTCAATGGGTTTTAAATTGACCCAGGATACTGTGGCTGACTTACCTCCCTGACTCTGGGACAGCATCGCAGGACAGAGGCAAACCCTCTCTCTCTGAACTGAAGCATTCTTTTGTACTGACTTTGTCTTTAGACAAAGCTGAACTCTTTCAACCAATTGCCAATCAGAAAATCTTCGTATCCATGTGTGACCTATAATGACCTCCCACACCCCACTTCAAGATATCCCACCTTGTTAGGCTGAATCAATGTACACCTTCCATGGGCTGATTTATGATGTTACTCCAATTCCTGTCCCCTCAAATGTGTAAAATGACTGTCCTGGGCAAACTTTTTCAAGACCCTTGAGACTTCCTGAGGCCATGGCCATTCATTGGCTCAGAAGAAACTTCTTACAGATAATTTAAGAGTTTGATGCTTTTGTTAACAAGCCCAACCAGAGGACTTGGCACACCCTTTGCTCAACTTGGGAATTCCCAAACCACTATAGGCCCTGCCTTCCTCTCTAAACCAGCACACTCTTCCTCTCTGTCCACCATTAGCTCTACCTGTGCTCACCTGGGTGGGCCTCTGTCAGCTGTCGATCCGCACCTGTTTCCCACCCCTCCTGACTGCAGGGCACCTCCTCCGTGGGCAGTGCTCACTGTCACTCAGCCCCTCAGTCCCTGAGCTCCCTAGAATTCTCCATCTCCATGGGGTGCTGGTATCCTCAGGCCAGGACTCCTTTGGTATAACCTGGCTCCTGCTATGAAATGTACATCTAGTTCCTGGAATGTGTGACTGAGTCCCCATGTAAACCTCCTCGATCACATGTACTGCAGGGCATAGCCCCCACCTTTCTGCTGGTGGTGAGCAATGAAGCAGACAGCTTCAACTGGGCTGGCAAACACCTGACATCCAATGCAGTGCCGGTCTCGGGATGAAGCTGATGCTGCGCACAGAATGGCAGAAAAACCAGCAGGTCCAACCTACTTTCAGGTCACCCTGTCTGTCTTCCTGGAGCTGGCAGTTTCACAGGCCATTATATTACCTCTATTACATATGGCAATTTTAGGTGGCTTTTCAATAAGTGCAACATAAAAGTTCCAAATGTAAAGTTCACCCTCCTAACAAAGTTATTCTGGATGTGATGTCTCCACCACTGTCCTGTTTCTAGAGCCCCAGCAGGTGTGTCCTCCTGGGTGGCAGCCTCACTTCTGGCATCTGGTGCCTTCACACCAAGCCCAGGCCTGGCACACCACAGGCCCTCGGCCACTGTTCGTTGAATGAATAAATGAATCTTTC